GTGTTCTGGTCTGGACAACAACTCCCATCATCCACTGTCTATAAAGTATAGTTGGCAACCTGGACCGTTTAATGGACAGGCCAAGCCAAAATGATTATGAAAAAAATTTAGTCTGTAGTTCTGCCATCCCTTCAAACAACTGACATTTATTTTAAAAATGCCTTTTACAATGAGAGCATTATGTTACTTTCTTACTCTTCAATCTTCACTTTCAACAATAGGCAAGGTTTACGTACACAGAACTGCATTTGCCCACATTCACCTCTCCCTCTCTTCCCCCTCTCCTTTCTCTTTTTTATGCTGAAAACTCCAAAGGAGGAGGAGCAGGCAGCTCTCTATTTAATTTATGAAACTAATTAAATATGGTGACAGGTTCACATCATGAAGGTAGACATTCAGATAATGTTAAACCATTAAGACTTCTTTAAAAAACACTTTGAATGTGGACTAGAAATAGTCTGGTAACCAGTGCTACTAATAAAGATTCAGAACTACATGTACACATTTACTGGCCTTCTACAACATCCAGGGTCAGACAGCTTCTCAAATGACTGAAACATCTTCTCCAAATACAGTTTCAATGATTTCTCCCTCAACCACAACAGAAAGAAGCCTTGACTCCAACCATTCATAACTATTAATATAGACACAGTGCTGGGAAGGTAAGTTTCATCTCCTTTGGAAAATCAAAAACAGTATATCCCCAGTCCTTTCGACCACCTTCCAAGACAATTGAACATTACAAAAGAAATCTCAGTATCATAGTTATATTTATTTATGAGGTAGAATTTAGATAAAAGTCAAACAAAAATATCATTACAATAATTATTACTGCTGTCATGCTTTATAATGATGACCAAATAATTAAAAATGCCATACCTTGATTATTTCCACCAACTGATCTACACCACTGTCACCCGGGAAAATTGGTTGTCCTAGTAATAATTCTGCCAATACACAACCTGCTGACCAAACATCTGGGAGAGAAGAAAAGTTCGTATTAAGTGAGCATGTTGAAGATTATATAGAATCATACATATTTATTTCCACTACACAGAAAAGTGGGGAACATTTTCTCTCATTTTCTCTCTTAAGAAGCAATGGTGGCCTGAGATTTGAACAGAGGAGTCATTTTGCCACACCAGGTTCAGGTGCCCCTCACTGCTTTGACCACGGGCATCCTTGCATATGAGGAAAGTTAAGAGAAACAGTAACATAGACTTAACACCAATAATCAGTCCACACAAAAACGAACTTGCATGAAAATATCTCACGCTCAAAGTAACACAGCAAAAGTATATACAAAAATAATACTTTGCAGTAATAATAGTAGTACTGTTAATGACCATAGTGATTCTATTATGTGTGTTTGCTGTCTGTATGTGTATTCATGGTATGGGTCTGCTCTTGTTTATGTGGATGGGACTGTATGAATGGAAGGAGTATGGGAGTAACTGATAGATAGGTGCTGGAATATTGTGTGGTGATGGCTGGCGAGAATGAATGCAGGGGAAGAAATGTGAAAGGAGTGGCAGTAGGTTTGGGAAGCTGGTCATAGAACTGTTTCTGGGTTGTTGGGTTTTTTGTGTAATAAAGAGTAGTCTGTATGGTGTGGTTGGTACATATGTTTGTGGGGAAAATATAACGGTAAAGTCGATTTTTGTTCATGTCCATATATCCAGAGTCTTATCTTTTCCTTTTTCCTACTTGTTCCAAATAAATTCTCCACATCTTTATTTTCACAGTTTTAATAAGTTTTTCATATCAGTCAATCAGGTCTATATGCTTGCAGACTACACTCACAACTCAAACAGCAGTTTCATCAAGAGGCTATTTTCACATACTAGCAACGTATTTAAATAACGCTATGGTCAGGGTCTTATGTTATTTTCAACAAAAACACAGTACAGTACTCAAGATGAGCCTTAGCAATTGCCACACAGAAGAGAACTAGTACTTCACATGATCTGGAGACTATACTTCTGTTAATGTAGTTTTAAATGGCATTTAACATTTTTTGCAGCCACATCACACTCTTGGCTTATTCTGCTTGTGATCTACAACAATTCCATGATCCTTCTCACCTGCAATATTGCTGAGCCAAGTATTCTTCATTCTGTAACTATGTGTTTGTTTTTTTTCCCTAGGTGTAGAACTTTACATTTATCTCTGTGAAATTTTGCATATACCTCTGTTAAATATCATACTCTTGTTTTCAGCCCATTGCTCAATCCTATCAAGATATTTTTGAATTCTCTTGCTGTCTTTCAGAGCATTAGCTATTCTGCCCAATTTTGTGTCATCCACAAATTCGATAAGCATTCCTTGCATCTCCTCAGCAAAGTTATTTAATAAAAATGTTGAAGAGCATTAGGCCCAAGACTGAGACTTGTGGCAGCTCATTTGTTACCTCCTCCCAGTTTGAGAACGAGCTACTGTTAAGCACTCTCAGAGTATGATTCTCTAATCAACTGTGGATCTACCCAACAGTTGATCTATCCAGCCCACACCTAGATAGCTTGATTATCAGAATATCATGAAGCACTTTGTCAAAGGTTTTGCTAAAGTCAAGATTTATTATGTCTACAGCATTCTCACCAACTACCAGGGAGATTACCATCTAATCAGGTAAGATCTGTCTGGCAGGGTTTGTTCTTGACAAATCTGTGTTGGTTTCAGTTATCAATGCATTGTTTTCAAGGTGCTCAAAGAATGACCACTTTGTAACTTGCTCCAGAATTTTTCTTGGGATTGATGTCAGGCTGACTGGTCTGTCATTCTAAATGACTGAAATAAGTATGCTCTTTTTAAAGAAGTATTTCAAATAAGTCAGCTTTTTTCTCTAACACAGAATTTTGATCACATCGGACACAGTCTTTAGAAAGGAACAAATATATACCTATACTGGAGGTATAATCCGTGGCTCCAAAGATCAACTCTGGTGCCCTATAGTACCGAGAGCAGATGTAAGAGACATTAGGCTCTCCACGAACCAGCTGTTTTGCACTGGATGGGGAAACAAGAAAGAATGGAAGAGGTTAAAAAATTAACTATAATGCACTTGTAGATATATACATTTGTTTAAAGTGATTTAAAAAGTTTCATTTGCACCATCAAGTCACAATATTTACAATGGCCTGGATAGGATTTTCAAGGTATGTGAGATATGTAAAGAGTGATTTTGTCAGTGCTACCTCCCAGGGAGTTTCCATAGCTGAGTTGGGATTTAAATCCATGTCTCTTGAGTCTGAATCTGTCAGTGTACCACAGTGGCTATCCTAACATCCATTTCCTACTAAATTATATATTCTCACTTCCCAGAACATGGGAAAGCACAAAGCTGTTTAGGAACACAAGCAAATAATGTTATTTTCCAAAGTGAAGGGCACACCAAGTGCTTGATCCAACCATTAAAAAACAATTCACATTTTAAAATTAGTATACATAAATGAGTATATTTTACTGCTGAGACTGAACACCTGATACACTTTTTTAAAGGGAATAAAATGTATCCATATGAATGGAAGTATCAACATGAATGTAAGAAAAGGAAGAAAACTTGTTCAACCACTGCCTAAATATAAAATGTATGTTATTAATTAGGTTTGGATAAACCTACCAAATCTTGAAATATGAAACATTATGAGCCAAAATATTGTTGCCTAGTTATGCTAGCAGAAGGAAATAACATAACTTGCAGCAGCAAACTTGCCGCCAATTAATGAGTCCCTGCTTGGATTCCTGATTGTTTGCTGTATTATCTAGTTGGTACCCAATAAAGAATCCAAACAAGGACTTATTAAATACTGTAGTGGCAATTTGCTGCTAAAAGTTACATCATTTTTCTTCCACTAGCATAATTCAGAATAGGATTTTAGCTGTTATCAACCCAATTTTAAAGAACTATTACACTGGAATGATTACAAATGATATAAACAGAAACAAAACACGTCCAAACAGTAATACTGCTGCTCTAATAGGGGATTAGATGACACCAGTGGATCTTCATTTTCCTTAATTTATGTTCCACAAATCATCCCTAGACTCTCTAAAACAGAAACAAAAAGTGAACTTTTACCAAGAAGGCCGTACAGTGGTGCCTTGCTTTACGATTGCCCCGCATTACGACGAAACTGCATTACGACGATCTTTTGGCAATTGCAAAACGATGGTCTGAATGGGGTTTTTTCGCTTTGCGATGATTGGGTCCCTGCTTCGGGAACCGATTCTTCGCAAAACGACAATTTTCCTCCAGTGATCGGCGGTTTCAAAATGGCCACCGGGTAAATAAAATTGCTCCCCGTTGTTTTCTGGGACAGATTCCTCGCTGCACAGGCACCGAAAATGGGCGCCCTATGGAGGATCTTTGCTGGACGGTGAGTTTCCAGCCCATTGGAACGCATTAAACGGGTTTTAATGCGTTTCAATGGGCTTTTTATTTCCGCATTACGATGTTTTCATTCTACAGCGATTTCGCTGGAACGAATTAATGTTGTAATGCGAGGCTCCACTGTATTTACAGGTATTCTGTTTTACAAGTAGTTCTGTCACCATTATTTTGGTCCTGAGATACGTGTAAGGTTATGGAGGATATAAAATTTAAAAATTTCTAAATGTTGGCAATGTGCTAGAGAAACCAATGATTTATAGTATAGCAACTAGAATCTTTTAGCACTTAAATGCTATCTAATCAAAATACTTCAGTAAATTTATGAGATTACTGGCTATCATTTATTTTGAGTGTAACTGAGCTTGAAAATTTATGTGAACATCTATACACATCAGAGTACATGTCTAGTCAGATCATATAGATCAATGTATTATTAGCAGCCAGAATGTCAACTGCCACCGTACAGAAGACCAAAAATTAACTTTTTGAATTAAAATAGCCTATAAAACACAGGATGTAGTTTAATGAGACCGTTTGGCAACACAGACAAAAGAGATTAAAAAGAGATATTGAGTCTTTTGCATAACATTGTTATATTTCATATTGTTTGGCATACCGTATCAGCTGTTTGATTTCATTAGTTATGGGCAGCCTATTAGTCTCAATTTTTGGAAAGTTTGCCTTACTCTTCAATTATATGCCATATTTTACTGATGAACAATTTTAGAGAGCATAAAATTTCGCCTTATTTATATAACCTTTACAGTGGATATAAAAAGTTCAGTTTTTTACTTTTACTTCCCTCCACCTAAAAGATTTCAGTTTGTTGTTCAACTGAGTTGTACAGTTCATAGGTCTCGTTAAAGGTGGAAAAAGTTCTCAAATGATTTATCTTTGTCTCATTTTTTTTACATCACAGACACTTGACATTTTAACAGGGGTGTGTAAACTCTTTATATCCGCTGTAATTTTAGTTGTAACTCAAATGTACCCCCAAGTCAAATCTTTGTTTCTATGCATGGGTCACACTTTTTCTATATGCAAGACAAACTTGTCAGAACTTTTTAAAAAACCAAACTAACAAACTAAATGAAGCAGCAGAAGAGATGAATTATGGCAAAAATAGATAAGAAGGAATCAAAGTCAATATAGTATTCTTGATCAATTATGTGCATGGTGATTTAGAAAGGAGTATTATGTTTGACTTGGGCACAAAGAGCTTGAGAGGACCATACAAAACAAAATACAGTACCAAAAAAGGAGAAACAGCAAGAGATGGGACTTGGGTGGTGAATGAGGATAGTGTTAATAGCAACAGCAGTAGTAGAAGAGATGTATGTCCAATGGTCATGAGTACAGATGGTACTGACAGCCATGGCAATGGATGATACTGTCCAACAAAAAGAGCAATGAACAAAGAGCAGATTTCCCTGTCAGAAAAAATAACTTAAATATTCACAACAGGATGAGAAAAACCTGTTTAAAATAACAGAATATAAAGGCATATACATAATAATGTTAAAATTCAGATGATAAAATAGTGACAACTAATTTTCAATTTAAATTGAATACAAAAATGCTCTGGATAGAACTAGACCACACTCAGAACAGACTTCCAGATCTACATTAGACATGACTTTCGACATGACTAACTAAAGTCATACCTGTTTTCACAAATCTGCGCCAAGTATGACCAAATCCTGATCCAACCTACTATGTTCTTCCATATGCTGGGAGGCTGGGGAGAAGTATTACTTGGCTTTTTAGTGTTACAACTGTCACTAAGGCCATGATGGGCAACAGATACTGTGCAATGTTGATACTGATCAAATAACTAACTGAAAAAAAATATGACACCAGAATCTAAGCTCAGTCAACACATAAGTACATTTTGCCTTGACTGGAGTCCAAGTGCAGTCCAATACATTGGTATTCCCTAGAAAAAATAGAGGCAATATTTTCCTCAAGAATAATTCTCCATAGGTAATGACTGTGAAGAGTGGAGCTTATATATATATTCCTTGTGTGTAAGGAAAGGCAATGATGGAGCCAAACATTTTCTTAAATATGAATGGGACTGTTGCCAGGCTAAAGGACAAAACATCGAACTGGTAGAGATGACAACCAAGTGAAAAACACTGATACTGATGACAGAAAGGAAGCATCCTTTAGGTCTATAAACACAAACTGGTTGCCTTTCTGAAGAAGCAAGAGGACTGGTGAGAAGTAATCAAGTGGAACTTCTTTGAACAAATGAATTTATTGACATTTTAAAGGCCCAATAGGGGCCACAAGCTGCACTGTCAAGTAAGCCATTGGATTGTATTTTTGTTCAGCACAGTCACAAAACTATTAACAACAACAACAACAACAACAACAATTTCTTCTCAAAGAATTGCACATAGATGAGTCTAACAGATGCTCTTTACAAAAGGAATGGTTATTGAATTCTATGGCACAGCCTTCCCAAATGACAGTGAAATCCCATTGACTTATGGTAAGTGTGCCAGGCTGAGAACTGGCATTAAAGACAGCAGTGGATAGGAGGAAAAGTTCTAAAACTGCAAATGAGGAGAAAAGTCAAAGGCAATGTTTTCAAGAATGGGAGCCTTTCCTGGAGAAAGCAGAAGGCTGCTATTTAGGCTGCCTAAACTGATCCTCTTGATACAATAATTGGGAAGAAGAGTAAGACTGAATATAAAATCTAAGTTTTAGTAAACAGACAGTGACTTCTTTAAGGCAGACCTTGTTGTTCACCAAGCCTGAGACTGGGCACCAATGTCCATTTCTTTAGCAGTAGTTCTTTGTCAAAAATGTTCCACTGTAGGATCCATTTTTGAATTAAAGAATCCATTCCTATCTATTCTTTTCCCTCCTTACAGTTCAGTTTATAACTGAGTTTAGTTTCAGGTGCTTGGAAAAACAAGCATCCTCTTGAAGCTGGTAAAGGCTCCCAACAGGATGAGATGCCAATTGCATCAAACAAGCCTTGGTCCAAGATTGCAGAATCAGATTTCAAGAGCTAGATAAAATTTGAGAAGTTTGTCATGGTCTGATGAAGATGGCAAAAAACTTTCCCTACCACCTCAAATGAATGACACGAAGCATCAACAACTATACCAAGTGTAGAGGATTGAAGCAGCAGTCCTGGATTGTGGGAAAATTTAGAGGCCATGTCCAAAGCCAGAGATGAAGCAAGCTAATAGTT